ATTCTCGCGAAGCTCATTTATTTTCATCGGAATAGGACCTGTTGACATTTAAGTAATAAACGCCGAACTTGACCCAATTCTACGACTAAGGACAACTTAATTGCCCCTCGCTACACGAAAAACCTGTATCTCCGTTTTAATGGCGACCACACCCAGTGAAACATTTCTTTGACTTTATGGGAAACAGTTTTCGAACACACAGATAATGCTACAAGTTTAGGATATCTAAATCTCGGATTTAGTTATAACACTGCAAACTTCATACTCTCAAGTACTGGTCAAAATAGTAAAGCTTATATTATTTTAATTGAAGGGGACAGTAGCTATAAAAAGTACAAAATCGAAGAATTATTATTTTCGTATGCTTTTTGATGGCTTAAAGATGAAATGTAACCATTAATGTATTGAAAATAAATTTTATTAAGTATGTACAGTAGTATTCAGATAACGTTCTACCCTCATTATCTTTTTTGCCCTTCTATTTAGAAAAAAATGATATTTTCATACGAACTCAAATGAAATATACAGTACGCGCCTAAAGTATGGAATAAATTCAGTAGAAACGAAACAAATTTTTTTAGGTTAAAATCCTCGAACAGGTTGATTTTTAATTTAAAAAATACATATTTTAGCATAAAAGGCGATTTTCAACCGTCATTTGTTTTTGAGTAATGACATTTTTTTTAAATAGCATATTTTAGAAATATTTTAATTAATTTTAATAGCAATATTTTTTTCTTGATTCTGAAAGATCGTTTCATTGTCGATCCACATTAAAATGTTGCCATCTTACATAGGAAAGTTTTCGAGTAAATGACGATTGAATGTTAGAAAACCTAAATCAATTAAAATAAAGCAAAAACGTTATCTTACTTAGTTTTTCGAAATGCCTGCTGCTGCTGATTTTTTATGGATCACGTAGGTGTAAATCTTTACAAAGTGTCACTGTCATACCGACTTTCTAAGTATTGTAAGCGATATAAAAATTATTGTTGAATTTAAAGTATTATGGCACATTTAACTGTCACACAAAGAATTGAAATTTTAATTCTTATCGGATGCGGGGATAAGACTAGAACGCAGCAGGAAGTTTGCGATTTATTTAATGAAAAACATCCAGATCGCCGTATCAGCCAATCAACAGTCAGTAAGATAGAATCTAAATTTAGAGAAACTGGCAATGTTCTAGATATTCCAAAACCTGGA